GCTAATGTGTCAATTTGAATTAATTCACTTTCAAACTACCTAGACCCTAGAGTTGAACAATGTATTAAAGTTTTGTGCAAATCAGACTTTGTTTGTGCAAACGGGAGCAAATTTAATGTTGTCAAAAACGGCCAAAAAAAGGTCACATTTTGCCGCTCCACTGCTCGAACAATGTTTCACTGATCAAAAATCCCTGAGGTCATTTTGAAGGTACATGTGTTAAGATGATGTGGAGCAAATTTGATGCGAATCGGTGAAACGGCCGAGGAGGAGTCGCTTTCCAACCGACATGTATGAAAACTTTTGCTGTTCATTTTTCCATTTTGCAGTGAAATTTATGGGCTTCCTGTTTGTCAGGGGGCGGGGCCATAATAATATTTTTTTCTTGTCTTGACTTGAGGAACATGTGTACCAAATTTCATGTTTCTACAACAAACTTGACCTCCGAAAAGTCCCATAGGGGTATTATTTTGGCTGTTGTAGGTGGCGCTGTTCTGTCATTTTTTGAGTCCCATAAAAATAAACACCAAAATATCAAATTTTTCGCCAGGTCTGATTTTTGGGCCAAAATTAACAACTTTTCATGCATGTTCAGGGGGTCAAATTAAGGCTCAAAGTGCAGAAGAAAAAAGAAAGAAAGAAAGAAATAAATAAATAATTAAAGCCGCAAGCGGCGTCGAACGGCCCTCGCCGCACCGCGCGACTCCCTGCACCGCGCGCACTCCCCGCACCACGCCGCCCCGCACCAAGCCGCCCCGCACCAAGCCGCCCTGCACCAAGCCGCCCTGCACCATGCCGTCCCGCACCACGCCGCCCCGCACCAAGCCGCAATGCGCCGCTCCACACCGTACCACGCAGCACCGCTAAAAGGAGGTGGCACCGCCGTGTGATGATTTGTTTCCGTAGCCAAGAAGAACTTAGTCAAATTGTAATGAATATGATAAGTAGAGCTGGTTTGGCTCCCCATGTAAACTTTGACACAGTCTGTAGGGGGCGCTAATGGGCCAATTTCCAATATTTCACTTTAACCTGACCTAAACCCTGGAATTGAACAATGGATTAAAGTTTTGTGCAAATCAGACTTTGTTTGTGCAAACAGGAGCAAAATTAATGTTGTCAAAAAGAGCAAAAAAAAACCTCACATTTTGCCGCTCCGCTGCTCAAACAACGTTTAACGGATCAAAATTCCCTGAAGTCAGTTTGAAGGTACATGTGTTGAGATGATGTGGAGCGATTTTGAGGCGAATCAGTGAAACGGCCGAGGCTGGTTTGATGTTTGTGTGAGGTGTACATTTGCAATGAATGGGGAGCGTTTCTCGTCGCCACGGCAACAGGGTAAAAAATAAGCCTTGGACCCTATTGACTTTTTGAATCAAGAGGGAAAAACGGATTCATGTGCAAAATTTCAAACATTTTGAAAAAACTAAATTTGAAAATGCCCATCTAAAACTTTGAAATAGTCTGTAGGGGGCGCTAATGTGTCAATTTGAATTAATTCACCTTCAAACGACTTAGACCGTAGAGTTGAACAATGTATTAAAGTTTTGTGCAAATCAGACTTTGTTTGTGCAAACGGGAGCAAATTTAATGTTGTCAAAAACGGCCAAAATAAGGTCACATTTTTCCGCTCCACTGCTCAAACAATGTTTCACTGATCAAAAATCCCTGAGGTCATTTTGAAGGTACATGTGTTGAGATGATGTGGAGCGATTTTGAGGCGAATCGGTGAAACGGCCGAGGAGGAGTCGCTTTCCAAGCGACATGTATGAAAATGATTGGTTTTCATGTTTCCATTTTGCAATGAAATTTATGAGCTTCCTGTTTGTCAGAGGGCTTAGCCATAATAACATTTTTTCCATGTCTTGACTTGAGGAACATGTGTACCAAATTACATGGTTCTACGGCAATTTTGACCTTGAACCCCTCCCATAGGCATTTTTAAATTGGCTGTTGTAGGTGGCGCTATAGAGCCAATTTCAAAATTTGAACTTTCAATTGACCTAGACTAAAGAGTTGAACCATGGATTCAAGTTTTGTGCCAATCACACTTTGTTTGTGCAAACGGAAAAAAATATTTATTGTCAAAATCTGAAAAAAAATACGCCACTTTTTGGCGCTCTGCTGCTCAAACAACGTTTCACTGATCAAAATTCCCTGAAGTCATTTTGATGGAACATATGTTGAGATGATGTGGAGCGATTTTGAGGCGAATCGGTGAAACGGCCGAGGCTGGTTTGATGTTTGTGTGAGGTGTACATTTGCAATGAAAGGGGAGCGTTTGTCGTCGCCACGGCAACAGGGTAAAAAATAAGCCTTGGACCCTATTGACTTTTTGAATCAAGAGGGCAAAACAGATTTATGTGCAAAATTTTAAACATTTTGAAAAAACTAAATTTGAAAATGCCCATCTAAAACTTTGAAATAGTCTGTAGGGGGCGCTAATGTGTCAATTTGAATACATTCACTTTCAAATGACCTAGACCCTAGAGTTGAACAATGTATTAAAGTTTTGTGCAAATCAGACTTTGTATGTGCAAACGGGAGCAAATTTAATGTTGTCAAAAACGGCCAAAAAAAGGTCACATTTTGCCGCTCCGCTGCTCGAACAATGTTTCACTGATCAAAAATCCCTGAGGTCATTTTGAAGGTACATGTGTTGAGATGATGTGGAGCGATTTTGAGGCGAATCGGTGAAACGGCCGAGGAGGAGTCGCTTTCCAACCGACATGTATGAAAACTTTTGCTGTTCATTTTTCCATTTTGCAGTGAAATTTATGGGCTTCCTGTTTGTCAGAGGGCGGGGCCATAATAATATTTTTTTCTTGTCTTGACTTGAAAAACATGTGTACCAAATCTCATGTTTCTACGACAATTTTGACCTCCGAAAAGTCCCATAGGGGTATTATTTTGGCTGTTGTAGGTGGCGCTGTTCTGTCATTTTTTGAGTCCCATAAAAATAAACACCAAAATATCAAATTTTTTGCCAGGTCTGATTTTTGGGCCAAAATTAACAACTTTTCATGCATGTTCAGGGGGTCAAATTAAGGCTCAAAGTGCAGAAGAAAAAAGAAAGAAAGAAATAAATAAATAAAAAAGGAATTTTTTTGTTAACGTCTCGAGCAAAAACAATATAGGTTTCAATGGCATGTGATACATCATTTTAAAGCTTTTGAGTTTACGCACGCAACTGTCACATTTTGGTGAGTGACGGGCGCTGACGCGTCCGTCACGCACCGCCACCATTTGTTTTCACCATTGTGAAAGCAATAGGCCCTTACCCCGTTCGGGGCTCGGGCCTAAAAAAGGAATTTTTTTGTTAACGTCTCGAGCAAAAACAATATAGGTTTCAATGGCACGTGATACATCATTTTAAAGCTTTTGAGTTTACGCACGCAACCGTCACGTTTTGGTGAGTGACGGGCGCTGACGCGTCCGTCACGCACCGCCACCATTTGTTTTCACCATTGCGAAAGCAATAGGCCCTTACCCCGTTCGGGGCTCGGGCCTAATAAATAAAAAAGGAATTTTTTGTGACTTGTCTCGAGCAAAAACAATATAGGTTTCAATGGCATGTGATTCATCATTTTAAAGCTTTTGAGTTTACGCACGCAACTGTCACGTTTTGGTGAGTGACGGGCGCTGACGCGTCCGTCACGCACCGCCACCATTTGTTTTCACCATTGTGAAAGCAATAGGCCCTTACCCCGTTCGGGGCTCGGGCCTAATGAATTCTCGATGAGCAGCTCTTTGATGAAGTGAACTCATGAAGCAGAAACCTCTCAGACAACACTGCAGGCAATAACACCGCTGGTTTTGCCAATTGTTTCCTTGTGCCTTAGTCCTGGTTTAATCTGGTTTATCAGTTTCTGCTGCGACTTTAATGAAGCCATATCGGAGCACATCTCCCATTCTTTCTTTTCAATCGGATTAGTCACTAGAATACATTAGCATACATTATGTGACAAGGGCACCTGGAGCACCTTGAGGATTAGATCGAGGTTCTTTGGGGGATGGAGCAGGAACGAAGAGCTCCCCACAAAATCTGTCAACATTAGTTTAATTCGTTGTTTGTTGTTTTCACATTAATTTGTGTCATGGTTCATTATTTAGACACAATATTTGACTCTTCATTTCTCTACTGCTAGGCTGTTTAAAAATAATCAAATCTAGTAAAGACATTATACTGCATATATAGAGAGAGACTCATTAGTGGTTGTTTGAAGCCGTTTATTCTAAAGTTATTGTTTTCTATTTTCAAATGATATTGACAACTGAGGCGACTCTTCTGACCCCGATCAGAATTCTGCATCCCTCTGTTCTCACTCACGTGTGTTTCTCTGTTAACATTTATGACAGATTGAAGTCTTGTGAGGTTCTTTATCCTCTCTGATGGTACAGCTGCACCTTCTTCTTGGCAACAATCCTTTAGGTTGTGTGAATTCCTGTGCCGCCTTGCAATAACTGTTTGAGCTCACCCAAGAGCAGCTCAATGTCATAATATGAAAATAAAAAAATATTTGACACAAAACTGCTTCACACAACCTTCAGTTCCAGTGAGTGGAGCGCGAGTGTTGGTGTTATCTTTCATAGTCTCCAAATTATGACCAACAATGTTTAAATTAATGAAAGACACACACACACACGCACACTCGTGGACACACACTCACACTCACACTCAAACACACACAATCACAGAGGACAAATTTCCCTACGGGGATAAATTAGGTGCATTTATATTTACAGACACACACACACACAAACAATCACACTGAGATTCAGACACTCACACATACACTCACTCACACACACACACACACACACACACACACACAAACAACTGCGAGTGAGTGAATGACGAAGGTGAATATCCTCCGCTTAATTTGAATGAATATTTGTAGCCTTACCTGGTCTTCCTGCTCCGTGTGGGTGTGTCCTGCCTCACCTCACATCACCTCTCTGCTTCTGCTTCTGCTTCTCCTTCCTGTCCCCGCTCGCTCACCATGCCAGACCTGGACCTGTCTCTGCTCTCCCGCCCCGTGTGCCTGGACCTCCTGGACGGCCCGGTGACGGTGGCATGCGGGCACAGCTTCTGTCGCGCCTGCATCCTCAGCCACTGGGGGCAGCAGAGGAGCCTGTTCACCTGCCCGCTCTGCCTCAAAGTGTACTGCAAGAAGAGCGGACTGGTCAAGAACTTTGTGCTGTCGGCCCTTGTGGAGCGGCTGAGGGCGCCCCCTGCTGGCCTCGTCTGCACTCCGCCAAGTACTGTAATGTTGGATGTGGACTGTGTGCGGGACGGGGAGGAAAGGGAATGGCAGGAGAGGGAATGGGAGGTGAGAGAGCTGGGGTGCGTTTGGATCCGAGGCAGGACGCAGCCAGGAAACGCAAGGTAAGAAGACTTTTTTGTTTGAGTTTCACTTTCAACAAGGATTCTTGTCCCCATTTTCCTGCTGCCTTCATCCTGAGAACGACCAAAGTATTGAGTCCTGTACTGTAACAAATCAAAATAACTTAGAAATGCAAAATAAACTTAACCTGATTCCTAAATTAAACATAATTTATTTATCAGGTTAAGCTTATTTTGCAGGATTGTCCACAGTCAATCCTTATGTTTCTCATGGTTTATGAGCCAAAAGAGTTGTATTTAGAGTGATTTACCCTGCAGTCCCATTTGGTGTTTTTGCACACACTGTAGCACCAACAACAAGTCTCTACATCACAGTTCCTTTTCGGTCAACGGAACCACCGAGTTTCCTTTGATTGTTTTCACAGTGCAAGTGGTTAGAGCTGGATTTAACTTGAGGTTAAATTTACAGTTTTTTTCTATTGCTTGAGCACTAAAGATATATGCTTAGGCCAAAGTATTATAAGATAAGATAAGATAAGATTTGCTTTATTTATCTCACATAGGAGAAATTTACATGTCACATTTGGCATGGATAGAGACACTCAGATTGTGCAAAAGGAGGAAATGTGCAAACATGTTATGCAGGATATACAGTATGTACAATAAAGTGACAATAATTATGTGCAACAAAATTGACAAGTGTCAATTGGAAACAGTGTCAATAGTAGTGCAGGTTTTCACACAGTGATCATTTAAAGTGACTTATTGTACAGTCTGACAGCGGTGGGGATAAAGGCCCTGCGGTAGCGCTCCTTCCTACACTGAGGGTGTCTCAGTCTTCCACTGAAGGAGCTCCTCAGCTCCTCTACAGTCCTGTGCAGTGGGTGGGTGGTATTGTTCATGATGGAGGTGGCTTTGACTAGCACCCTCCTGTCCCTCACCTCCTCCACAGAGTCCAGGGAGCAGCCCAGAGTGGAGCTGGCCCTCCTGACCAGCTTGTTCAGTCTGTTTCTGTCCCGCTCTGTGCTGCCCGGGGCCCAGCACACGGCAGTGTAGTAAATGGCAGAAGCTACCACAGAGTCATAAAAAGTCCTGAGCAGAGGCCTGCTCACTCTGAAGGACCTCAGCCTCCTCAGAAGGAAGAGGCGACTTTGGCCCTTCTTGTGCAGGGCGTTTGTATTACGGGACCAGTCCAGTTTATTGTTAATGTGAACACCCAGGTACTTGAAGCTGTCCACCAGCTCAATGTCCTCCCCCTGGATGTTCAGCAGCGTGTGGGAAAGTGGTTTTCTCCTGAAGTCGATGATCATCTCCTTGGTCTTACTGGTGTTCAAGCACAAGTGGTTGCGCTCACACCAGTCGACAAAGTCCGTGATAACCGACCGATATTCCAGTTTGTTCCCCTCAGACACACAGCCCACGATGGCGGAGTCATCGGAGAACTTCTGCAGGTGACAGCTGTGTGTGTCGTGTGTTAAGTCTGAGGTGTAGATGGTGAAGAGAAACGGTGAGAGGACAGTGCCCTGAGGGGCCCCAGTGCTGCAGACGACCACCTCAGACTCACAGCTGCGCAGCCGCACGTACTGTGGTCGGTCTGAGAGGTAGTTGATGGTCATGCAGTGAGGCTGCTGTCCACTCCCGCGTCCTCCATCTTCCCCCGCAGCAGTGCCGGCCTGATGGTATTGAAAGCCGAAGTCGAAAAACATGACCCTCACAGCGCTCCCGGCGGTCTCCAGGTGGGAGAGCGTCCGCTGCAGGAAGTAGATGACGGCGTCCTCTACTCTGATGTTGGGTCTGTAGGCGAACTGCAGCGGGTCCAGGGTGGGGCTGACCACGGAGCGGAGATGGGTGAGGATGAGCCGCTCCATGGTCTTCATCAGGAGGTCAGTGCGACTGGTCTGTAGTGAGCCGGTTCCTTGGCGTGTGCTGTTTTTGGGACCGGGATCACACAGGAAGTCTTCCACAGGACAGGGACCTTCTCCAGACTGAGGCTCAGGTTGTACATGTAGCTGAGGACCCCAGAGAGCTGGTCTGCACAGGTCCTCAGCAGCCTGGGACTGATCCCGTCCGGTCCTGCGGATCACATGGATCATGTGATCAATCATGGCCTCACAATGAGGCAAGCAGAGTCCAGCCACAGCTCCATCATAAGGACCTTCAGATGGAAACATATACTGTATCTAAATACTGTAGGCTGTATCTACAGTATTTACAGTACTGTACCGTATCACATGTACTGTATTGAAAGTTGGCTATAGTGCTCCTTTTGATAAATGGTAGTCAATGATAGTACATTGTACTCTACCATCAAGATTGTCACAGTACTGTGGTATTTGTTGATGCATATTTCTACAGAATGACCAGAAGGCCTTCTCATGGTGGTCAGCACCTGTTGTGGAAATAGTCCAAGCAGGTTTTTTTGTGTTACTGAGTTTACTGTACTGTAAAGACTACTGTACTGTAGAACTGTTATGTACAGCATTGAGTTGATATTATTTGTAGCCTTTCAGTACTTCCTGGTTGTTGGGGACACCTTTGTTGAGAACAAAAACAGTTCCATTGAGCTTGACAGAAAAAAAAAACAGTGAAAATAAAGACGGCTGTGTTTTGCACAAAGTACTGTGTGGAGTAGTGTGTTTCTTTCAATCTGAAAGTGTGTTCACATGATGCAAGTGTGAGTCACTTTGTCCTCAGAGTTTCATTTTGACGCAGATGTGAATGGTATGTCCGAGTGTTGTGTCAGGTCATCTTTGTGTGTAGAGTTTTGGGACAATGAGTAAAATTTTTAAAAATGTGTTCAAGCTATAGAAAAAAAAACCTGTAAATCAGTGCAGAACAGACTGGTGTCACTTCAAGGTTTGTGGTGTGACTGGGAAGATCCATCTCCAGAAGAACCAGGTCTGTTGATGAAGAGGAACACGGTTGTAATGTGTTAAAAAGCTAAAGAAAAAGAAAAGGTTGCATTTCTCTTTGAAGCCCAAATAGAGAAGAGCTCATGGACGATTTTCTCCAACTCACACTGGCTCCTAATGACCTACATGGAAAAGTAAACACCTCTAGCTCAGTAATCATTTATCACTCACCGTTTTGGGATCAAAAAGACTGTGTTTCTCTCTATGATCATTGGATTTTTATGATGATATTAAATTGGATATTGATCCCTTATATTATCAAATTGGCTTCTTCCACATGCAGCAAACACTGTGGTGACGTTGGTGAGTTCACTGCTGATATGCCGTCCATCCTCACAACACTACTCTTTGCAGGCGAGACTGATGGGTGCCCCTTCCTACACACCTCCCCCCTCCAAGGCTCTCACGGCTGGGGTCAGCAGGCACCGTCTCCTGCAGGACCTCCAGCACAAGCAGGGCGAGCTGGAGAGAGCGTACCACGAAGCCCTGCAGATCCACCGCAACGCCCGAGAAACACTGCAGCGTGTAGAGGAGCTCTTCAGCCAGATGCTCCTCATGATGGAGGCCAAGAGGAGGCAGGTGAAGGAGCAGGTCAGCCTCCACCAGAAGAACCAGCTGAGGAGGGTCCAGCAGCTCCAGGACAGTCTGCAGGCGGACATCGCTGAGCAGAAGAGCAGCCTGGCTGAGCTGGACCCACTGGACACGGAACAAGAAGTGGTTGATGGTGAGTGAGGTTTGTCCAGTGTTCACAAAGATGCAGTTATCCATGATACAGATTCAAGACGTTTTTGTTTATTTTAAATACCAACAAGTGTGATTGCTCCGGGGAAGTCCACAGGGAGGGAATGATCTGGAGAATATTTCACATGTCTTTGGATCTGTTCTGCCTGGTTTGATCAGCTGTGGTGATAAATGCAATCCGTCCTCAGCAGACTTTCAGGTGCAGGTTTCATTATTTTGGTTTAGCTACATTTAAGTCAAAGTAAAGACAACAAAAACATTATCTAAGTGGACACAGTAGGGTATCTTGACGAAGCCCAAAGATGTCTGCCCATTGACGACAATAATGCAAACCGGATGTCAATAAATGGGGAGAAGTGATTGCCCTCCCGGTCTTACAGAGTAGGTGCAAAGATGTTCTTCAGCCGGACAAGAGGAAAACCAGCCAGAGAAAATAAGGATCAGCAGAGTATGTTGCACAAAGGTGTGGATGGATTTCAAAAGGACAAGCTGTTTTTGTTCACATTACGTCTAGAATTCAGGCTGCAGTACCATGAGAGGGGCTTAAGCTCCAGATATCGTTTTGATTCATGGTCCAGTCTTACATCTGACCTGTGTCCACAGCGTCACCGTCCCCAAAGCTTGTCCTGGAGCCCTCGGGGGGCCCCAGCTTCAGTGAGAAGGTAGGTTCTGCTGTGTTGGCCCTGGTTCTGTCCGTGCAGGCCCCTCTGCTGCTCTTCTCCTCTCCTGAGCCGGAGCCCAGCACTAGAGCAGCCTTCCTGTGTATTTGAGAGTAGTGTGACTCGAGTATTTGACAGTAGTACTTTGACTCTTGCTACAGGGACATGCAGAGACGTGGCGCCTCAGACGCCTGTGAGTTTGGCTGCAACCCAAACTTGTGGGCCGTGGAATCTTCTGATGGATCCTTTTCCTTCTGGTTCAACAAAGAGTGTGTGAAGGCCCCGGGGCGCCGGGGCTCGGCCTCTCGCCTGGGGGTCTTCCTGGACCACAGTGCAGGCCTGGTGTCCTTCTACAGCGTCTCCCACACCATGAGCCTCCTCCACAGGCTGCAGACCAGCTTCAGTCAGCCTCTTCATGTGGCCGTGTGGTTCTACTGGGGTTACCATGGAGACACTGTCTACTTTCCCAAACTTCAACACAATCCATTCTATTATAAACCGTTTACTAGTCGGATTATGGGAACACTGTTTACAGTTCATTATCCTTTTCCTGGATTGGATCATTCTCAGTTTGATCCCAGTGTCTGTTTCAAAGAGCTTCTTCCCCCGAGAACAAACAGCCTTCATGGGGCCAATCCTTTTATATAATTTTAGGGTCCACTTGTAAATATCCAACTAGCTGCTAATTTGTATAGTTGTTAGTGGTTAATTTGTTGATAATTAATAATAAACGTTACACTTCTGTCACTTTAAAATCTCACACCTCTGTACACTTATTGAGAATCTGCTCTGTTAAATATATGTTGTGTGTTTTTACATATTAGATTTTTATGCATTTTATTGCATGCCTTTAAATCTATTTATTTCTATTTTTTCACTTGTTTTAAGTCAAAGCACATTCCTGGACTGTGATTTCCTGTGTTTGGCACTTTTCTCTACATTTATTAAAATCATAATCATGATCCTGCCAATCAGCTCTCAGCCCAATGCATCAAATAACTCATCCAATTTCATACATTTATATTGCACCTACATTTACAGGACACCTCAAAGTGCTACTGATTAGAATACAAAACAACAAACAAAAAAGTTATTATCAGAAAACATGAAGGGGTTAAAAGCTTATAATAGGCCTGCTTGAACAAACGTTAAAACAAATAACCACTTTATGTTGTCGTCTGATTTGTTCACTTAGTTTTAAAACTGTTTCTGTCTTTTTGGAACAAACCAATAATATTCATGGCACTCGAATGTAAACCAAAACAACCATTACATTAGCTTGTAGCACAGGTGCATCAGGTCAGTGCTCCTCTCACCACATTCCTCATATTTTGGCTGTAAACACGGAGCCCACGCAGAGGCAGATGGAGACAGATGGACAGTGGCTTTATCTGACCTCTGCTGTAACCGGTGGGGGGTAGAGCCAAACCCTCTCTGGACACAGGAGGAGGGCAGTGAGATATAGGGCGTTAAATTCAACAAAACTAAAGCTTAAAAAGATGTTTAACTTTTTAGTTGATTTTGAAAGGTCAAACAGGAAAATGGGTCTCACATTCCTCTTGTGGGCTGTATCACTTCAATTGTGTGCAGTTCTTAAAACGACCAGCAGATGGCAGACCGTACTATTGTTTTAGTGCATTGATGACTGTGAAACAGGCGGTTGTTCCCATGGGTCAAGGTTAGTTTGAAGTTTGAAGCGCTCTGTAAGGTTCCTGCGTTTTCATCGGGATCCATACACGTCTCAGACCCCCCTCCTCGGTGGGTGCTACGACCACAAGTTTTAATAAAATAAGCTTGTCTCTTCTTCTGCATATGTCATTTCAACATTCCTCTTTGGGTCTTCATATATTTACAGCTTTCAGGCACGAGTCAAGTCTCATATTTATAATAAAACCTATCTTTTCCATTATTACTTTCAACGTTTCTCTGGCGTCTTGGCCCGAGGCTCGGTTCGCTCTTTCCATCAAACAAACATGACACAAAGATGACAGACTGCACTGAAACACACTTCCTTCTGACTTTGCGTGCAACTGAAACAACCATAGGAATAATTTACAAGAAAAAGAAAGGTAAGTAATATGTAATTATATAGCACATTTCATTTATCATGATTGTTTACAAAATTAAGCAAATTAACCAGCTAAAATCATGACCTTTAATGTTCACTTATTTTGCTTATTGATAGGAGCACTTATAACACAATTCTTGTGGTTTTTTTTGTTATATTATAGGGCTCCACCAAAAGGTTGAGATGCAGCTTGATGGTAAAAAGTGCCTAAAACTAAGTGACAGTAATGCCCCAATGAGGTAGATTTCAGTTCCAAGCTTCAAGTAGATGTGACTCAAAAAGTGATCCCCCAAATGGATGAGAAAATCATTAAAGGGATAAGTTGAAAACAGATGAAACAGGACTGCTAAAACATCTGATTGAGGGCACACAGTTGTAAAGTATGACAGTACATGTTAATGAACACATCTCTCCGGATTGTAGCGTTGTCCCACATTCGCACTCACAAACACACACTCATTCACCCTGAACTATTGTACACGTTTTTAGTAGTAGAAAACCGGAGCACCCGGAGGAAACCTACGCAGACACGGGGAGAACATGCAAACTCCATTCAGAAAGGCCCTGTTCCAACCAGGATTCGAACCCAGAACCTTCTTGCTGAGAAGCGTGCTACCCACTCAGTCACCGTGCCGCCATGTGACTATGGACGTTTCCAAACAAGTATTTATAGGAAGTACTTTTTGCAAAACATTATGTAGGATTTTTCATGACCTAAGGAGCTTTAAAATAAGTATTCAATCAGAAAGGGGAAACATGTGTTTGTCCAAAAATTGCCGATATTAGCTTGAAATCCAACCACATCCTGTCTTCAACTTATTATTATATTTTACATGCTTATAAGAATGAGCCCAGTGTGTCACCATTTGATTCATTGGGCTGCGAGCTGATCTGAAAAAAACGTTATAAATGTGTGAAAAAAGTCAAAAACATATGTAAAAAAAATAGTGACCAAGCTGTTTTAGAGCTATAGTGAAAGGAATTGTATATAATTCATATTTGTGGTTGGAAAGTTACATACCCAAGCTTTAAGGTGGAACCAGTTAATTTTAAACAAGGCCTAAACAGAGAAGGCAAATTCATAGTTGTCTCTTTTTTAAATTTGCTGCAACATTGTTCCCTGATCATAAATCTGGAGTTGTTTGTTGCTCATTGTAATTACCCATTCACATCTGGAATGTTCATCTCAAACTTGTATCCATGTCTCTGTTTGGACTTTTAAGCTGCGGCCTTTGTTCCACAGCCTAGAACATAAAAGGGGAAAAAAAGTAGACCGTTTTCTTTATTGATCACTGGCAGAAGCTGTGTCGCCCTCTTGTGGCCATTGCAGAGTTTGCAGTTCATGCATTTATAATCCCATGAACTTGTACCTCACTCTCAAAACAATTTACTTTTCGCACGCATGCATTTCTGACCACTGTCGCATCTATGGATCAGAAAAGGACCACCCTCACTCAGCCAATCAGATCTCAGACCGAAACAAAAAAGTGACTCAGAGTGCACTTTCTCACAACTATACAAAAGATAACATGGATTATAATGAGATAAACACAGCTTGTTGTGGTCTAATTCATTTTATTATTTACATGACTCTATTGCGACAAAACATATATTTATCAATCCCAGCATGGACCACAGAAAGTCCATCATTCATGTAAAGTAATTAATACATTTACTAACATATATTTGTATTAGTTATTCTATCATTTGACTTGTTTAGCAGTGAGAGTAAGGGAGAATTTCAGAAGTATGCAGCTAAAATATCTATTTATCACTATTGTTTCTATCTTGTTTTGTTAAGCACTTTGACTTGCCCTGTGAATGAATTGTGCTATACAAATTAAAACGCCTTGCCTTAAATGTTTTAGCTCCACTGACAGCTCACGCCTCGTGCTGTTTTTGTGCTGATTGGCAAACCATCTTCCACCCGGACCCGCCTCACAGACCCTGAGACCCTCTGAATCCATGGCTCGTTAGGAGCGCAGTAAAAATAGCAGCGGTGGCGGCGCACTATATTATTCCCAATTAGGAAGTGGAGCGTTGCCATGGCAGCAGCCGCCTCCACATCGGGGCTGGCTCTGGTCCAAAGGGATGAGACGGAGAAGGAGGAGTCAGCAGGAGGAGTCAGCAGGAGGAGTCAGCAGGCTGGGCGAGGTTTGAAGTGAGCAACAAGGTCTTCTTTGGGGCATGAGGCTAAGGAGACGTTTCCATAATAAATATTTAGTAAATGCACTGTACTTATGTTGGGTTTGTGGTAAGATTGGGTTGAGCGTCAGGATGGGGAACAAAACCCTTTATTTCCAACTAAATTATATCATATTGTTTGGAAATATATTGTGTTGAATCGAATCGACAGTGCCATTTATCTTATGGTGACCATTGAGATAAGAATATTATCGGCGCAGTCCTGGCCCTTTCACTAGTGAAGAACTTCCAGTGTGTCAGGTCTCGTTCACAGTGAAGGATGGAGCGGGAGATAGACTGTGTGTGCAGCGATGTGGGGAAGATGGAGCAGCGTCTGCAGTCAAAGCTCTCGATTTACTGGTCGCCTTGATTACAAAAGTCGTCAACAGTATTTTTATTTTGCTTTATTAAAAACTAAATCAAACGTTAACATTTTCTGATTAAAAAAGGAATTTAAAAAAAAACATCTATTATAAAATGAGAAGCAAAACATGAACTGTGAGACTGTAGAAACAAACACGACATCGAAACAATTCATTTGAAACATTATTATTATTATTTTATGAAACCTTCAATATATCAAACACTGTACACTCTCATTGGACCGTGTGCTATTGTACAGTTTGTGTGTCATGGCTTTGAAACAGTCCAGTGTAGCAGTCGTCACAACATTTGTACGTGAAAGAGTGTGTTTGTGTGAAAGTCCGGCCACCCTGACTGCAGGTTTTTTCTTTTCTTTTACAAAAACATGTAGAGTGGGATGGTGTGGTTTACCATCTCAGTCTGGTGAACCACAAACACCAGATTATCCAATTAGAGAAGCACTGGATATAACTCTTCCAACACAGTTATCTGCTCT